TGTGAATGATCAAACAGCACAATTAATGTTCAAAACAATCTGTTGTCAATAAATATACAGAAATCATTCAGTATTCCTAAGGGGAGTCGTAACCTAAGGGAGAAAACTCACTTTAATTTAACTCTAACTCTCACAACAAGGAAGGGTTTTTGTGTTTCAGTCGGTGGTGTGAGACTCTGGAACAGCTTTACCATGGAGCTGAAGACATGTCCAAACAAGACACCGTTTAAAAAGACATACACAGACACTATTTTACATGGATGAGGGAGGTGTCAGGTAGCATGGTATGTATGTATGTATGTATGTATGGGCAGGTGTGTGTATATATATATATACATGTATATATATACAGTGGGTACATAAAGTATTCAGACCACCTTCATTTTTTCACTCTGTTATATTGCAGCCATTTGCTAAAATCATTTCAGTTCATTGTTTTTCCTCATTGATGTACACACAGCGCCTCCTGTTGACAGAAAAACACAGAATTGTTGACCCTGTTGACAGAAAAACACAGAATCGTTGACATTTTTGCAGAGGTATTAAAAAGGAGAAGTATTCAGAGCCTTTGCTCAGTATTTAGTAGAAGAACTCTTTGGGGCTAATACAGCCATGAGTCTTTTTGGGAATGATGCAACAAGTTTTCTACACCTGGATTTGGGGATCCTCTGCCATTCCTCCGTGCAGATCTTGTCCAGTTCTGTCAGGTTGCAGGTGAATGTTGGTGGACGGCCATTTTCAGGTCTCTCCACAGCTGCTCCATTGGGTTTAAGTCAGGGCTCTGGCTGGGCCATTCAAGAACAGTCACAGAGTTGTAGTGAAGCCACTCCTTGGTTATTTTAGCTGTGTGCTCAGGGTCATCGTCTTGTTGGGAGTTGAACCTTCAACCCAGTCTGAGGTCCTGACCACTCTGGTTTTGGTCCAGGACATCCCTGTACTTGGTCACATTCATCTCATTCATCTTCGACTGCAACCAGCCGTCCTGTCGCTGCAGCAAAAAAAAAACCCACCCCCACAGCACGAGCCCCCCCACCCCCGGGCTTCACTGTTGGGACTGTATTGGACA